AGCAGGAATTCTCAAAGTAGAGATGGGAGAAAGGCCATTCCAGGTGGAAAAACAGCATGGGTGAACTCAAAAAGCAGACACCTGGGCAAAAGTTCCAACTTTCTGCACTGTGAAGTACTTAAAGAGGGATATTAGGAAATAAGATGGTAAAAGTTTGAACAGGGACATGCTATGGATAATTGAATACCAAGGTGAAAAATCTGGACCTTATTTCAAAGTGAAATAAATAAGTGATAGTAGCCACTGAATCCTTATGAATTGTCTAATCAAAGCCACACATAAGAAAAATTAATGAACTTGTACACACCAGTGGTTCTCTATCCTGACTGTACTTTAACTCACTCAGGGGACTTTTTAAAAAAGATTCTTGGGCCCCATGACGTAAAATTCTAATTTAATTTTGGGGAAGGGGGCTTAGGTGATTCTACTATACTTACATCCTTGAGAATCACTGGAGTATGGATGCATCTAAGAGGGAGAGCAGAGTAAGGGAAACTAAAAGGGAAACTTAGCACAGTCCAGGTAGAAGTTGATGAGAGTTTCGACAACTGGATAAAAAATGGGAAAGGAGGTAATTGGGAGAAAATAACTAGAGGATTCACAGATTATCAGAGAAGATGGGATTGGAGCTGACTGAGTTCTCTTAGTCTGGAGTCGACTGAAAAAACCTAGAGACCAGGAGAATAATTTTTAAAATATATATTTATACATGGTAGATGTCTGGGCATCGTACTATGCAGTGGGGATACAATCAGTTACGAGACACAGCCCAGGCCTTCATGGAGTTTACAGTCTAGTGGATGAGTTTAGTGTTGAACATTTGAATCTGCAAGACACAAATAACATATAGCGAGAAACAGTCATCTTCCTAAACCTGATTGCTGAAGCCATTCAAATGAATACACTCACCAAAAGACTGAGTATATTAAAAGAAGACTATCAAGGGGGATCTGTACAATTAGAAAGGAGTCAGAGAAGGAAGAAAAACTACATAATGTCAAGCCATGGAAGCAAGGAAAGGAAAGAGATTCAAACAGAAGTTGTTAGTCAACTGTAGTAACATTTCCAGTGGAAGGAAAAATTTCTGCATATGCAGAAATTTCTCATGTACCATGGGGATTTCACAATTGAAAAGTTCTGCCATAAAACACATTTCAACACATGAAAATACACGGACGCTCAGGAATAAGTCCAGAGGCTAAGATTTCTGAAAAAAATAGGGTCTTCAATGCTAAGTATTTTTAGAAAGCAAAACCATATTCAGATAGCAGTAAAATATAAATTAGAAGCATGCTAAACCAATATGTTCTAGATTTATGTAACATTTACTCAGCATTATCCTAGAGAAAATGTAAGCTTCCTGAGATGTGTTACTTTCAATTAAAATCTTAACTTTTTTAAACAACTCTAGAAATCTTTCCACTGCTACAGTCAACCCAAGGCCTTTCTGAGATGATCAACAGAAAAGATTTTTCTACCAACTCACTAGTACACAGGAACTCTCTCACCGCAGAGTCCTACATACTTGCTGCTACTGTCATGTAGCTGACTGCCGCCAGGTGTCATGCTAGTAGGCTTGATTCAATTAGTAACTCTAATTGTAGCTGAATGAAATTAATTATATAATTTTGAGCTGTTCAAGTTTAATTCCATTAAAATTAATTTATGAAACCAGGGTATTATGAAGCATTGCTGACTAAAAGAAAATAGGTATGAATAAAGCCTCTAGACACACTTGACTCACATTTGAATCATGTCCAATATTCAAGTGCTAAAACACAGACCCTCTCAACTCTCCATTGACTAAATGAAAATGCCATGTGATCCGTACACACATAACTTAGTAGTGACCCACTACTAAGAGGAAAATAAAGTTCTTCCTGCTCTGAATACTTATTAAGAGACAGTTATCACATTTTTTTTGAAGGTTCCTTATCTGTGAAATTCTAGAATTAGATGATCCCAGGAGTCCTCAAGTTGAAAAAGAAAAGAAAAATTATCATCCTCTGTCTCATTATATTCAAGAAATTATAAACATGTAACAACTATTAAATCACAATCATCAGTCTATCCAACTTTGCCTCCTTTGAAAACTAAATGTCTTGGCTCAAAGGTTAGTCTCACCAATCACAAGAAATTGAAACTGTGATTAAAAATCTTCCAACAAACAAAAGTCCAGGACCAGAAGGCTTCACAGGTGAATTCTATCAAACATTTAGAGAAGAGCTAACACCCATCCTTCTCAACCTCTTCCAAAAAACTGCAGAGGAAGGAACACTCCCAAACTCATTCTACGAGGCCACCATCACCCTGATACCAAAACCAGGCAAAGATACTACAAAAAAAGTAAAGTACAGACCAATATCACTGATGAATATAGATGCAAAAATCCTCAACAAAATACTAGCAAACAGAATCCAACAACACATTAAAAGGATCATACACCATGATCAAGTGGGATTTATCCCAGGGATGCAAGGATTCTTCAATATATGCAAATCAATCAATGTGATACACCATATTAACAAAATGAAGAATAAAAACCATATGACCATCTCAATAGATGCAGAAAAAGCTTCTGACAATATTCAACACCCATTGATGATAAAAACTCTCCAGAAAGTGAGCATAGAGGGAACCTACCTCAAAATAACAAAGGCCAAATACAACAAACCCACAGCCAACATTCTCAATGGTGAAAAACTGAAACCACTTCCTTTAAGATCAGGAAAAAGACAAGGATGTCCACTCTCACCACTATTATTCAACATAGTTTTGGAAGTCCTAGCCACAGCAATCAGAGAAGAAAAAGAAATAAAAGGAATCTAAATCAGAAAAGAAGTAGTAAAATTGTCACTGCTTGCAGATGACATGATACTATACATAGAGAATCCTAAAGATGCCACCAGAAAACTACTAGAGCTAATCAATGAATTTACTAAAGTTGTAGGATACAAAATTAATGCACAGAAATCTCTTGCATTCCTATACACTAATGATGAAAAATCTGAAAATGAAATTAAGGAAACACTCCCATTTACCACTGCAACAAAAAGAATAAAACACCTAGGAATAAACCTACCTAGGGAGACAAAGACCTGTATGCAGAAAACTGTAAGACACTGGTGAAAGAAATTAAAGATGATACCAACAGATGGAGAGATATACCATGTTCTTGGATTGGAAGAGTCAATATTGTGAAAATGACTATACTACCCAAAGCAATCTACAGGTTCAATGCAATCCCTATCAAATTACCAATGGCATTTTTCACAGAACTAGAACAAAAAATCTTAAAATTTGTAAGGAGACACAAAAGACCCTGAATAGCCAAAGCAGTCTTGAGGGGAAAAAACGGAGCTGGAAGAATCAGACTCCCTGACTTCACACTATACTACAAAGCTACAGTAATCAAGACAATATGTTACTGGCACAAAAACAGAAATATAGATCAATGGAACAGGATAGAAAGCCCAGAGATAAACCCATGCACCTATGGTCAACTAATCTATGACAACAGAGGCAAGGATATACAAAGAAAAGACAGTCTCTTCAATAAGTGGTGCTGGGAAACCTGGACAGCTATATGTAAAAGAATGAAATTAGAACACTCCCTGACACCATGAATAAAAATAAACTCAAAATGGATTAAAGACCTAAATGTAAGACTGGACACAATAAGACTCTTAGAGGAAAACATAGGAAGAACACCCTTTGACATAAATCACAGCAAGATCTTTTTTGATCCACCTATTAGAGTAACGGAAATAAAAACAAAAATAAACAAATGGGACCTAATGAAGCTTAAAAGCTTTTGCAAAGCAAAGGAAACTAAAAACAAGACAAAAAGACAACCCTCAGAATGGGAGAAAATATTTGCAAACGAATCAACGGACAAAGGCTTAATCTCCCAAATATATAAACAGCTCATGCAGCTCAATATTAAAAGAACAAACAACCCAATCCAAAAATGGGCAGAAGACCTAAATAGACATTTCTCCAAAGAAGACATACAGATGGTGAAGAGTCACATGAAAAGCTGCTCAACATCCCTAACTATTAGAGAAATGCAAATCAAAACTACAATGAGGTATCACCTCACACCAGTTAGAATGGGCATCATCAGAAAATCTACAAACAACAAATGCTGGAGAGGGTGTGGAGAAAAGGGAACCCTCTTGCACTGTTGGTGGGAATGTAAATTGATACAGCCACTATGGAGAACAATATGGAGGTTCCTTAAAAAAACTAAAAAATAGAATTACCATATGACCCAGCAATCCCACTACTGGGCATATACCGAGA